AAGCTAGAGAGTGCCCAGGCATCAGTTTCGCAAAATTTGGCTGAAGAAGGAAATTCTTGGGACATGATCAGTGAAAATGATCTATGGGAAGGTGGAAGCATGGAGCTGGACCAAGATGATTATGTTACACCAAGCCTGAGAGCAGGAGCAGAAAGACCTGCTGGTGGGGGGTCCGACATGAGGAGACCATAGTGGCACCGATTGTGGCCGTTGTTGGGAGGTATGGCAGACATGTTATGTGCTTAGTTTTCTCATCGTCCGGCGGGCGGCTAAGGCGAGGTTGCCGCCCGCCGGTGAAGCAAAATTACTAGGTTGTTAACCTTGCTCTGATACCATGTAAAATAAATTGATAGAGAGAGAATAAATTGTATGTATTATTGATTGATGTGTTTATTTTATTGTGTGTTGAGCTCTCTCCTTTATAGAGGAGAGGGAGAACAATTACAAACCGAAAGTAGAAGCACAAACCAAACAACATTATTAAAGGTACATTATTAAAGCATACTAATTATTATACTAACCTAATTATTAAAGCAACATTTTACATATTATATTCTAACATTATTTATAAACCAAACCAAATCAACCTTTAAGTCCCATCAAATAGGGTCAGCTACATGAATCATTTTTCTCTACTCGACTCTATCAAAGGCTATTTGGTAAGTCAAACTAAAGAAATTTATATCTCTATTTACTACACTAGCCCATGTCAATCTAATTATGCCCCTTCCCCTAACACTTCTCTCTACTGTCATCGACTGTATTGCATCTCTTTACTACTGTCTTTGTTGGTTTCCGGTGTATATGACCAAACCATCACAATCTATTCTCTCTCAGCTTATCTTCTATCGGTGCTACTTCTACCCATTCACAAATATACTCATTCTTAATTCTATCTTTTCTAGTCTTGTCACACATTCATCTTAGCATCCTCATCTTAGCAATGTTCATCTTATCTATATGTTGTTTCTTAGTTGTCCAATATTCTGTCTCATACAACATCGTTGGTTTAATAGCCATTCTATAGAACTTTCTTTTTAATATAGTGGGTACTCGTTTATCACACAGTATTCCAGATGCACTCATCCACTTAAGCCACCCCACCTTAATTATATGGATCACACCTGCTCCAATCTCCCAAACCGTTGTGATAATCGATACTAAATAACGAAAAAGTTCACTCTTAGGTAGTTCTTGATTCTCAATCTTCACTTCTCCTCTATTTTCATTGTTACTATTACTAAAATTACATTTTATGTACTCTGTCCTAATTCTGCTTATCCTAAATCTTTTATATTCAAGTGTTTCTCTCTAAATCTCCTACTTAGTGTTAACCCCTTCTCTAGTCTCATCTACTAATATGATATCATCTACAAAAAGTATACACCATGGCACAGTTGTCAAATCAGGATTCGTATCGTGAATCGAAATGGCTTCGTACCGAATCACGAATCGAATCGAATCGAATCGTAAAGATTCAATCACTTTTTTCTAAATTACTTAAAAACATATATTTACACATTTAAATGTTAAATATATCTTATGATTATGAAATATTTAGACTTAAATTAATGAAAATGTTATTTTGAATGGTAATCACGTAATTTAATAGGTAAGAACAAGGTTCTGAAAAGCGGTAGCGGTCGCCGTAACGGTGGCGGTGGCGGTGGCGCGGTTGCGGGGTGTAAAGGCCGTAGCGTAACGATTGTGGTAACCGGAACTGTGAATTTTTTTATTTTTAGCATAATTTAAAAAAAATTTACCGTTACGCATATTTTTTTTTCCATGACCATATTTATTGGGTTTAAAATAAATATTGATCAATTTTTATAAATTTTTAAGTATGATCCAATATATTTTATATTTTTAAATCACTATAAACTGATTATTATTATTATTATTATTATTATTATTATTATTATTATTATTATTATTATTATTATTATTATTATTATTATTATTATTATTATTATTATTATTATTATTATTATTATTATTATTATTATTATTATTATTATTATTATTATTATTATTATTATTATTATTATTATTATTATTATTATTATTATTATTATTATTATTATTATTATTATTATTATTATTATTATTATTATTATTATTATTATCAAACAATATATAGATAGACACACACAAACAAAATGGTTGAGTGATAGCAGTTGAATAGAATAGCATAGGTTTTACAGTTTCAACAAATCAATAATATGTTCTTCATCTTTCCTCTTCTCTCTCTATCTCTTGCTCCTCCATCTTCTCTTTTTATCTTCCCACTTCTCTCTATCCCTCTTTCACCATTTTTAGCTTTTTTTTTTGTGTTTTTTCGAAAGAAACAGTTCGGACTGTTACGTAACGGTGCGTAACAGGCCGTTACGACTGTTATGGTACCATTACGACCGCTACGGCAGCCGCTACAGCCGACACACCTGTGAATCTCAATCACACTACAAAAGCGGCCGTAACGGGTGGAGGTAACCACCAAAACCGTTACGTAACGACGTTACGTAACGGTTGCGACCGCTTTTTAAAACCTTGGGTAAAAAGTTAACAAAGGTTCCTATGTGACATCACCATCTTAACTTTTTATTTTTTAGATATTTCTTATCAACCGTTCTTAATAAAGACAATAACCAAATAGACAAACTATCAATTTCCAAAGTAACAATAAGTAACAACAACATTGATATTTGTACAATAAGCATACATACTTTTCTAAGTAACAGTAAGCAAATAATAAGAAAGAATTATTTAGAATCTTTTATTTTAAAGTCTAAAACATTTTAAAAGGTATAACTGATCTCACACATATAATATTCAATTATATTCAATTTAATAAAATAGCAATAGATAATTTATAGTGTAACTTTAATCTTAAATATCTTTAGAATATATTATGATTTTTTAAAGGGAAAAAAAAAAGAGAAGAAATGTTAAAAATATATTGGGTCTGACTGAATCTGAGTGGATTCTATTAAAAACTCCATGATCGCTAAAATAACAACAAATCATGTATATATGTTGGTTATTTTGGTATTAAATGCTATTACAAGTTGTATTATGTCATTTTCACTAAAAAGATAGAAACGAAGAGTCGAAAATATGTCGGACACAATAATTTCAAAAATTGCATGAATCGTAAAAAAAGAATCGAATCGTGAATCGATTGTGAATCGTGCGATTCACCAGAGATTCACTTCCAAAATAAATTCACCCATAGATTTGTATTGATTTTACAAAAATGGTGAATCGAATCGCGAATCGTAAGATTCTGATAATAGAGCACCATGACACATCATTCTGAATATTTCTCATCAACTCATCTATAACTAAAACACAAAAGATAAGGACTTAAAGTTGATCCTTGGTGTAACCCCACAATAATTGAAAATTCACTTGTCTCTCAAGCTGGCGATCTAATAGTGATTACCACACCATCATACATGTCCCTAATCACATTAATGTAATTTCTTTTCTAACACCAACCAGATTATATCCCGAGACACTCTACCATATGTTTTCTCAAGATGGATAAAAACCATATGAATGTCTTTTTTCTTTACTATATACTTCTCTATTACTCTTCTCAAAAGATAAATCGCTTCCACCATTGACCTACCAGGCATAAATCCAAATTGATTCTTTCACACCTCTGCTATATCTCGCAACTGATGTTCCATCACTCTCTCCCACACCTTGTTATAGGTGGAGATTTCAACGGCCATGTAAGAATAAATAAACTAGATTATGAGAGGGTGCATGGTGGGTATGATTTTGGTGATAGAAATGAGGCTCGAAAGAGTATTTTAGATTTTGTATTGACTTCTGACTTGGTGGTGGCCAATAATATGTATAAGAAGAGAGGAGCATTTAATAACTTTTAAAAGTGGGTCAATTAGGAGCCAAATAGATTACTTTTCAGTAAGAAAGTGGACCGTCTAAAATGCAGTGACTATAAGGTGCTTCTTGGAGAGAGCTTGATGTCTCAACATAAGATTTTGGTACTAGATTTATGCTTTAAAAGACAACACTAAGCTAGGAAGGATAGTGGGCGCCGTAGGACAAGATGATGGAACCTAAAAGTGGATAAACTAAAAATATTTAAAAATATAATAGATGAAAAAAGTACTTGGGACTTGGAAGATGATGCTAACACTATGTGGAACTCGATAGCCAATTGTATGAGGAGAATCTCAAGGAAAGTCCTTGGAGAATCGAAAGGAAAGGGACCCAATTCTAAGGACACTTGGTGGTGGAGGGGTAAGGTTCAAGTGGTAGTAAAAACGAAAAAATAGTGCTTTAAAAAGTGATAGAGTGATAGAACTGAAAAAAACCTTAAGAGCTACAGATTGGCTAATAAGGAGGTCAAAAAGTAGTGAAAGAGACTAAGTTGAAAGCCTATGATGACCTATAAACTAGACTTGATAGCAACGAGGGAGATAAGAGAATACACAAACTTGCTAAGATAAGAGACAAAGGAAAATAAGAGATTTTAATTAGGTTAAGTGCATCAAGAGTGAGAACTCTAAAATGATGGTGAAGGATAAAGAGATAAAGGAGAGGTGGAAGAACTATTTTGAGAAGTTGTTAAATGGGAAACAGGGAGTAAGGTCAAAAAGGGAGGAAGTAGCCAACAATAAGGAAAACAATAACTATAAGTTCTGTCGCATGATTAGTAGCTTTGAAGGGGAGATTGCGATTAAGAAGATGAAACCGAATAAAGCTTTAGGACCTGATGATATTCCTATCAAAAAAAAACCCACCATACAATTAAATGTTCCACAACATGCAAAAGGAAGGAAGTTAAGTTACTAAGTGAAGTTGTAACTACAAAGGAAAAAAATTATAAGATACAAGGTTAAAGAATCAATTAGATAAGTCTGTTACATGTGCATATTTAAAGATCAAATAACCATAACAGCAAATCACTTCTCACCTTCCAAAAGGTTATATATCAATGTGATAAAAAGACAAAAATGGTAAGATACCTGTTCTTGAAGATCCAGAGGAGAATTTGATTCTAAATTGATGGTTAGACCACTAAGAAAGTCATCCATATTAGCAGAACGAGACTCTAAATGAGAAATATTCCCATCTATTAGCTTATCACCAGATTCCACTTTTGCATTTGTTTCCATAATTGTTGTCCCACGGTCATGCTTGAAACTATATAGCTTTGCTGCAAGGCCCTTGGAATCCTTTGAAACTTGCCCTTTTGATCTTTCCTCAACTGCTTCTAGCACATCTGGTCGATACTTTTCTCTCAGCTCTTGCAATCTATCTTCAGTTACAGCCAAGAAACCCATGCAAGCAGTCAAAACAAGCTGACTGCTATCAAATGTAGAACCAGCTAGGGACTGTAATAAAGAAATGGCATCGCCAGCATCCCTAGTTGTAACTAAAGCAGGACCTACAAAAAGCTGAATCTGATGAATATATATCGGATAAAACATCCTAAGAACAGTAATGGAATGACAATTAACAAAACCATTAACTTCACATATATCAAGAAATAATAGATGTTCAAGTACCATATAACTCCATTAAAGAAAGCGCAGCTCGAAAAATCATAACACGATTTCCTTCGAATAGAAGCACATCCCAAATTCTAAGAACTGAAGACAAAGAAACCCATCAGAACATAACCATGTTTCATAACTAAAAGAGTTCAAAGTCAACTTTAAGATGCTAGGATTTATAAGAATAAATTTTGAAACTAATTGTTATACCACGCAACATAAACCTCACCACTTTCCCATGGAAGCATATTCACAAAGATTGAAAGGAACCAAGGTCCAGAAATCCATGCAACCTGCACTCCCAGGTAATCCAGATGCTTGACTGCAGTGGAAGCATTACAGAAATAAGAAATTTGCAGCGTTTCACAAAATGATAATAATTGATAAGGAGGATGATCATACAACAATATTAAACAAACCCAGTTTAGGAAATCTTTCACGCATCAATTCCTCAAAAACAAGTTGGTCCACCTGACAAGAGAATCAATTATTGGAATAATTAATAAACAACAGTACAAGATAGTTCATCTCTGCTGATCATAAAGTAACTAGTGCTGGTGGTCTTTCATCACAGGAATAACTCAAAATAAAACGAAAACTACAATAAAGGTATGAATAAGATAAACAGCTCTAGGCAACAGAAACACATACCTGAGATTCTATCATTTCCTCTGAGTAGTAGCCATCAAAATAGTCATCAAGAACACCCACCAAAGTCCTGAGAGACTCAAATTAAAGTAGTCCATAATGCTAACTTAGTTGCTAGAATAAAAATATACACAATATATAAATCAAATATAAAGGCATGCTTCTACCAAAGGAAACTACAAATATTTTTCACATCATTAATGGATAATTTGTTATATCTTATTAGAAGAGAGACTCCTGTGTCTGTATGCAAGACATACAATTTATACAAAGAATAATGCAACAGTTACCAAATTTGGGATACCATCAGATGTGCCACTTATGCATTGTGCAAGAGACATGAAATGTGGCATTAAACCAATACATTGGTGACACATTAGATGGTATCCAACTTTGGTCACCACAGCATTATTGTTATACAAAATATAAAATAAACAAAACCATCATAAACAAAAACAAGGAGCCAACAGCCACAATACCCAAAAACTTCTAAATTGACCAGATCCTATCAACCATAAACCAAAAAGAGCAATGCTACACCCCCACAAATCTCCCACAAAAGCACCTGTCAACAATTTCTTACCGGTAAGAAATGGTAAGAAATTGTTGACAGGTGCTTTTGTGGGGATGGATCATTTTCCAACCAAAAATTTCAAAAGCATACATTAAACTTCACAACCATAAACTTTATCACCTTAGAAAATCTTCTCTTTCTCCTACCATGTGATCTAAATAGGACATTGAGGAAACCAAACCAAGCTCAAGGTGCCCAATCTCCTCAGCCAATCATCTACCAACCTCTAAATGACTCAAAGAAAGACCATCAAGGCTCAGTTTTTGATGATTGATACAGAATTCGTTTCAGAGTTATCTTTTCTTTTCTTATAATTTTAATAATCTTAGGATTCAATTTTTAGATGAACTGCATTGTTTTCACTAGTACATCTTCTGCTCTTCACATTTTCCACTTAATCAATTACAGTGGAATTTTCAGGGTTTTAATTAGTGCATGGGTGGAAGTAGGGTTAGGCTTGATTAAATAGGGGAAGGAGATTAAAGAAGTGACTATTCTGGGAGCTATGAAAAATGTAAACCTAAATAAGACCCATAAATAAAAATCCTAACACATAACTTGACCCATACCACAACCTATGGGAAACTCCTACGACCCACATCCAGCTATTATAGAAATTACCAAAATACGTCTCGAGGATTGTTGAATGAGGGGTGCCCCTCGAGAAGATGATAGGAACTAAGATGGATAAATACCAAAAGAGGTAGGAGATATAAAAATAAAAAATAAATAAAAAATAAAAAGGTGCCTTAAGAGCTATGAAGCATGAGTACTTCGAAAAACATGCCGTACCCGTACCGGGTACTTACCGGCGTATGATACCTCGTATGGTACTTCTGCATACATACCGGGTACACGAAACACGTATCCAATTTTTTTCTTTTTAATTTTTGGCATACCCAGATGTATCTACTATATACCCAAGCTGTACCGTATCTCAGTTAAAACAATATTATCTTCTACTACAGAAATAAAACTCATTTCACTAAACTTTTTTTTTTTATTTTTAGTTTTATACTTAGCATATTTTTAAAATTAAACTGTGGTTTGTAAGTTATTTTAATATATTGAAATTTTATTTTGATTTATATCTTTACTTTTGGCATTAAATGTTAATTGTAGGTTGAATCTTAACAAATTAAACCATTTAATTAATTTTTTGCATTACTCTAAATTAAAAATAAATATTTTTTTACAAGCGTACGAAGCCGGAGCCGTACCCGTACCCTACTTTTTTGAATTTTACCGTATCGACGTACCCGTATTGTACCAGTACCAGTACTCGTACCCGTATCCGTGCTTCATAGCTTAAGAGAGAGAGGGTGATAGTAGAGAGCCCTATGTGTCGGAGGCGGGGAGGAGCAAGGGTCATGATCTGCATACCTGAGGCCTCCTTATATAGAGTGGTGATTCAGGGGAAACTAGCTCAGCTAAGGGGCCCAACCCCATTGGCCAGGCAAAATGGATAGAACTTTGGTCAACTCTGCAACCTCAACAAGGCCTCAGGGGATGTATCCTATGAAGCACAAACACTTCAAAATAAGCGTCATAGCGGTGTCAGACAGGGGGACACATACGGGACACGCCAAATGGCATTTCCCTTTTATTTTTTTTTTATTTTTTTTGCCGGGGACATGCCAAGGACGGCTGGGACACACCAAATAGCATATCCTTTTAATTTTATTTCCTTTTTTTACCAGAGACACTCCGGGGACGTCGGGAACATGCCGGGGACTCGCATGTCTAAACATGGATAATCTATTAATTTGTTTAAATATAGTGGTTTATATATATATATATATTTATATATTGAATTAATGTTAATTTTAATTTTTTGGTAACATAATATTATTCTACATAACAAATATATATAAAAATAAATTTTAAAAAATATATATTTTACATAACAAATATATATAAAAATAAATTTTAAAAAATATATATTTGTTGTGTCCCCCGCCGTGTCTGTGTCCGTATCCGTGCTTTATAGGATATATCATATGTGATGGTCGGGATTGTGGAAGGAGATTTGGTTAGGGAGGAGAGAGTTTTGGAACAAGGTGAACTTTCGAGTGGGGACTGGGGAGAAGATTCGATTTTGGAAGGATATGTTGTGTGGGGAGAATGTGTTGGAGATGCGTTTCCCATTGATTTTTGGTATTGCTTTAGATAGGGAGGTCACTGTTGCTAATTGTTTGGGGAATGGGGATGTGGCGGTTTGGAATATTCAGTTGTGGCACTTAGTTTAGGATTGGGAGGTTGGCCAACTAGGGGAGATGTTGGCTTTCTTGCATGGGTTGGGGGCTATGGTTAGGGGGGGAGGATGTTGTGGTTTGGAATGTCTCAGCCACTAAAGGACAATTTTCTGTATTGTCCTTTTATCAGAGTTTGGTAGGGGAAGGGATGGGAGTATTTTCTTGGAGGAGCATTGGGGTGTCGAGCGTTCCGACTAAGGTGGTTTTCTTCTTATGTCGAAATCCTACTGTTGATAAACTGGTTCGTCATGGACATGTTTTAGTGAACCGGTGTTGTATGTGTTATGCCGATGCAGAGTCAGTGAATCATTTGTTTCTTCATTGCTCAGTTACGACGCATCTTTGGGGGCTTATTTGTTCCATGTTTGGAATAGTTTGGGTGCAGCCAAAGGGGGTGTTGGAGATGTTGTGGAGTTGGCAGGGGGCTCGGTTTGGGCGTCGTTGCCGGCAAGTTTGGTTGTTGGTGCTTTTTTGTTTGATGTGGTTGGTTTGGTTAGAGAGGAACCGACGTACATTTCAAGATATTTATCATTCTGTGTCGTGGCTTGAGAACAAATCGCTAGTTACTTTGTATGGTTGGTTGGAGAGAAGGGTAGATCTGGATTTGTTTGTTTTCTTAGAATTTTTGGATGAGTTTATTGGTTATGAGTTTTTAGTTTTTTCCCATTGATGGGAGGTTTTGTATTCTTTGTATTATCGTGATACTTTTTCAATAAAGTATTTTTATTTGTCAAAAAAAAAAAGTTGGTAGATATGATAAGTCCCCATTTGTTGTGCCAAAATGGTACAAGGCTAGGCATGTTGCAACCACCAAGGTGTCACATGTCTTGCTCAAGGTCCCTCTGTCTCTATGATTGGTCTGAACGTGCCTCGTCCTGAGGAGCTTGTAAAATGTGCAAATGAATCCTTAAACTCTAGCCTCCAATCCACCAAGCACGCTCAATGGGGCTCTTGGTGAGACAAGCAAACCGAGTGAGCTCAAGATCCCGGGCACGCAAGGTCATTGGCGGTGTGCAAGCATCATGAGGTCTTAGGCACTGGCAGATGGGGCATGACTTGGGTTAATTAGGCGTTGGTACATGATTTAGCCATGTGTCGTCTACGGATGTAAACACATGGTGAGTATGTTTTGCAGCTAATGTCACCAAAAGGGATAATGTGGTAGTGTTGTGTCAAGGTCAGACTCGTGTATCTACATCCTAGAACTAAAAAATTGAAAGTACCTTCTTTATAGACTATCTCAAGACGCACCCTGAGCTTAGAGAGAACGTAGGGTTTAGATTCTAAGATGGCTTCAAATGATAGAGAAGAGAATCACATGAAGAGCTCTCTTTGTTTGTGATAATTTGAGGGCCTTTGACATCTTTATTTATGATGCAATCCCATAAAAAATATCAGATGAGGATCTTATTGGCCAAAAATATTACCACTAAAAGCCTTCAAAATTGGAATGAAATGACACATCCTTCGAGTGCCTCAATTTGGCACGAAATTCGTTGACTGTTTGAAAGACTGCTCTAGCGCTTCTTCGAGTGAACAAAACCGTCCAAGCATAGAGGCTTGATTTTTGTTGCCTGCTTAAATGGGGTTTGAACGGATGAATCCTTTTCATTTTTTGCGCCATGTGAAGTTGCCGCTTAAACAGGGTTTTGGGCGAGCAACACTGCCTCAGAGATGTTGGCTGGATAACTGCACCGCTCAAGTGCTGGGATGGTCACGACTCACTCGAGAAGCTCTGTTTTATAATCCAAATCAACATGTTTAAGACTCCAAGCATGATGCATTCCCTCCAATCAGCATTACAAGCACCCCAAACATAGTACAAGACTTGGAACAAATCCTCCCAACACAACACAAGCCCTCCAATCACATTAAAAATTTCCCAAACATCATACATGCCTTGGTACACATCCTTAAAAGATAGTATACGTTATACTTTACAACCAAACAGGGTTTTGTCTATAGAAAATTCCAATCAAGAACACAATCATTTGTAAGCTTCTTGACAAAAGAAAAAACTAGCATTGATATAAACTCAAAGCAACAGCCCAAGGGCAATCCCATGTAAGGCAAAGGTACAGATTCACCACCCAAACTAGTAGCCAAATGGCAACATTATCCTTGTCTCCCACCGAGATGACTTCACTGTTCCCCAACTACTGCATTATCTTTTAAAAAATTAATAGAGCTTGAGTTAATTACATTTTACCCCCCTCAACTATCAAAAACCATATATAGAGGCGCCTCCTTCTGAAGGGGGTGAAAGTGAAGCAATTTTGATAGTTGAGGGGTCCTAAATGTATGGTTTTAAAGTTGAGGGGGTAAGGTGATATTCAGTGATAGTTGAGGGAGGTAAAGTGTAATTAATCCTAATCTTTTACAGTGGCTATGTTGAGAAAGTCAATGACTTACCAAAAGGCGTTTTCTTCAGGCATCATCAGCAGTAATAAGCCAGCAAAGAAGTTCATTGCCTGTATCAGTATTCATACAAAAGAGAGAAAAAGAAGACCCATTATGATAGTTGGGGGTATTAATTTCGCCAAACAGTTGAAAAGAATAAGCATGTATGTTGTACTGGTGAAATGAAACAATAAATGCATTTTGAAGAAGGAACTCCCAATAGGATGTCATCTAAGGTTGTTTTAAATTGCCAAATAAAATACCCTCTAAAAAAAAAAAAAAAAAAATTGTCAAATAAAATTTAATTATTCTCTTCTTCTTCGCTCAATAAACCAAACAAAATTTCAAGTCCCATCAAATGGGGTCAGCTACATGAATCCTTCTTCTCTACTCAACTCTATCAAAAGCCATTTGCTTAATCAGATTAAGGAGATTCATATCTCTATTAACTAAACTAGCCCACGTCAATCTAGGTTTGTCCCTTCCCTTAACACTTCTCTCTATTGTCACTGTATCGCATCTCTTCACTACTACCTCTGTTGAACTCCGTGGTATATGATCAAACTATCTCAATCTATTCTCTCTCAACTTATCTTCTATCGGTACTACTCCTATCCATTCACGAATATACTCATTCCTAACTCAGTCTTTTCTAATCTTGCCACAAATCCACCTTAGCATTCTCATCTCAGCAATACTTACTTTATGTATATGTACATGTTGTTTCTTAGTGGCCCAACATTCCATCCCATATAACATCGTTAGTCTAATAGCCATTCTATAGAACTTTCCTTTTAATCTAGTAGGTACTTGTTTATCACATAGTACCCCAGACGCACTTCTCCACTTAAGCCACCCTGTCTTAATTCTATATACCACATTTGCTCCAATCTCCCCAGCCGTTGTGATAATCGACCCTAAAAACAAAAAAGTTTACTCTTAAGTAGTTCTTGGTCCTCAATCTTCAATCCTCCTCTATTTCCATCGTTACTATTACTAAAATTATACTCCATGTACTCTGCCCTAGTTCTACTTATCTTAAATCCTTTAGATTCAAGTGCTTCTGTCAAAGTCTCCAACTCAGTATTAACTCCCTCTCTAGTCTCATCCATTAATACAATATCATCTACAAAAAACATACACCATCATCCTGAATATTTTTCGTCAACTCATTCATAACTAAAGCAAAAAAATAAGGATTTAAAGTTGATTCTTGTTGTAACCCCACAGTAATTGAAAATTCGCTCATCTCTCCCGCTAGCAATCTAAGGCCTAGTTTGGGAAGACTAAATAAGTGCACTTTTTGACTTTTTTTGTATTATGTGTAGAAAAAGTAGAGAGGAGATGTTGATTGATGTGACCCAAAAAAGATAAAAAGATGAAATAAGTGCACTTTTTTTGGAGTAGCCAAACTAGGCCTAATAGTGGTCACCACACCTTCCTACATGTCCCTAACCACATCAATGTAGCCTTTTGTCACCCTTTTCTTTTCTAACACACACCAGATTATATCCCGAAGCACTCTATCATATGCCTTCTCAAGATCGATAAAAACCATATGAATGTCTCTTCTTCTATTACTCTCCTCAAAAGATAGATCGCTTCCATTGTTGGCATAAATATGAATTGATTCCCTGACACCTCTGTTATACCTCACAATCGACGTTCCATCACTCTCTCCCACATTTTCATTATATGACACATCAGTTTGATTCCTCTATAGTTGTCGCAATTTTGAAAATCTCCTTTATTCTTATAGATTGGCACTAAAACACTCTTCCTCCACTCATCTGACATTTTCCTAGTCAACAAAATCTTACTAAATAACCTAGTCAACCAAACAACTCCTTCTTACCCAAACATTTCCAAGCTTCAATAACGATATCATCGGATCCTAAAGCCTTATTCGATTTCATCTTCTTAAGTGACCACATTTGCTCCAATCTCCCCAGCCGTTGTGATAATCGACCCTAAAGACAAAAAAGTTCACTCTTAAGTAGTTCTTGGTCCTCAATCTTCAATCCTCCTCTATTTCCATTGTTACTATTACTAAAATTATACTCCATGTACTCTGCCCTAGTTCTACTTATCTTAAATCCTTTAGATTAAAGTGCTTCTCTCAAAGTCTCCAACTCAGTATTAACTCTCTCTCTAGTCTTATCCATTAATACAATATCATCTACAAAAAACATACACCATCATCCTGAATATTTCTCGTCAATTCATTCATAACTAAAGCAAAAAAATAAGGATTTAAAGTTGATTCTTGGTGTAACCCCACAGTAATTGAAAATTCACTCATCTCTCCCGCTAGCGATCTAATAGTGGTCACCACACCTTCATACATATCCCTAACCACATCAATGTAGCCTTTTGTCACCCCTTTCTTTTCTAACACACACCAGATTATATCCCGAAGCACTCTATCATATGCCTTCTCAAGATCGATAAAAACCATATGAATGTCTCTTCTTCTATTACTCTCCTCAAAAGATAGATCGCTTCCATTGTTGGCATAAATATGAATTGATTCCCTGATACCTCTGTTATACCTCACAATCGACATTCCATCACTCTCTCCCACACTTTCATTATATGACACATCGGTTTGATTCCTCTATAGTTGTCGCAATTTTGGAAATCTCCTTTATTCTTATAGATTGGCACTAAAACACTCTTCCTCCACTCATCTGACATTTTCCTAGTCAACAAAATCTTACTAAATAACCTAGTCAACCAAACAACTCCTTCTTACCCAAACATTTCCAAGCTTCAATAACGATATTATCGGATCCTAAAGCCTTATTCGATTTCATCTTCTTAAGTGCAATCTCCACTTCAAAGTTCCTAATCCTGCAATCTTGGTTTTCCTTATTACTAGCTACTTTCTCCCCTTTTGACCTTCCTCCATATTCCTCATTTAACTTCTCAAAATAGTTCTTCCACCTCTCCTTAATCTCTTCATCTTTCACCAACACCTCAGAGTCCTCACTCTTGATGCACTTAACCTGATTAAAATCTCTTGTTTTCTTCTCTTATCTTAGCAAGTGTGTATATTCTCTTATCTCCCTCCTTACTATCAAGTCTAGTGTATAGGTCATCGTATGCTTTTAACTTAGCCTCTCTCACTACTTTTTTGACCTCCTTATTAGTCAATCTGTAACTCTTAAGGTTTTTTTCAGTTCTATCATTCTGTCACATTTTAAAGCACTCCTTTTTCGTCTTAACTACCACTTGAACCTCATCCCTCCACTGCCAAGTTTCCTTAGAGTAACAGTCTGCTCTACAATATTGAACTAAGTTACCACAAAAAATAGATGCAATAATAGGTCCATGAGATTCTGCTCGTGGGTTCTATATATATACATTCCACAAAGGAACCACTTTGTTTGAAAGCAATCAGTTTAACATACTTGCATTTCATTAAGAAGCAAACTAGTAGTCGGATGACCTACAAACATGGTCACAACCACATAACAATATGGAATTGCTATAAAAAGTTTTCATCCAAGGATACACCATAAATGGGAAAGGAATAATACAAGTACCAACAACTCCACAAGATCAAAATATGGAACTTCTATTAGAATACAGTTAAATTGCCTATCTTTAAGTAGTTAAGAATAGCCAAGCATAGAGACTCCTTCCGGCCAATTACCTGACAATACCCAACAGAGGGGTTATGTCGAGCATATGCTAAAAGTAGACGTCTCAAGGAATTCTTACCATCCTCATCCAATGCAGGATGACCTGGAAAAGTTCGAGGCAAATCCTGCAAAGACAACAGAAGAAGTTAGTCCAAGGAGAAACCTCAATTGCAATTCAAAGTAAAAGAAGAAGCACCGACAAATTGTAAAATATTGAAAGATAAAGTCCAGGATACATGCATCAATGACCTTCTCAATCTGCCGTCTCAATTTCTGAGGTACACCAACTCTCTCTCCATTGGGCCCCTTATTACTATTGCATGATTTATCATCCTCCCGCATATCATTGGAATCATTTTCTGCAGCTAGCAAATTCTGGTAATATCCCTCCACCCTGCATGTTCTCACACCAACAAAGGCTTGCCATACCTGTAATGAGGTTGTATGAATACAACACTTTTCTGCGAACATACGAATTTAAGAGAATCTACAAACTCAGTAAAAGTGTTAACTTTACCTCGCCCCTGAGCTCCCTTGGTACTCCCCCATGAACAAGGAACTCTAGTTCTTGTTTCCAAGGGAAGAAAGGTTCCAGAGAGACTCCATCATTAGTAGCAGTTCCTTCTGCAGGTGTATTCACACTGTCATCTACTATCTCATTATCATAAAACTCTTCCTCAAAGTTCTCCTCAGATTCCTGTCTTGAAGTTCTCGCCTCTTCAATTGATGGGAGATGATTTTGAGAAGTGGTTATGTGCTCATCTTTCATGTTTTTTCTCTTCTTGCCACGGGAACTCATCATAAGCTCAATGGCATGAAGTGATGGCCTAATTTCAGCCCATGTTTGCACCTCACAGTTTTTTGTTTTTGTTGCCACCTGTACGTCCTTCTTGGGATCACTCTCTGTCTGAATATCAAAAGCAGGCTCCCCACCCCCACTCAACTGTGGACCAGGCTCTGCTTTCTGCTCAGTAATTTCAGCACTCAGCCTGTTGTTACTTTCCTCCTCAGATGAGCACAGTTGAACAGACTGTGATTGCTGGTCAAGAAAACTTCTCCACTTTTCTGATCTTTCTTCCTCCTCTTCCTGCAACCATGAAACAAAACTGAGCTGGATACACAACACCTTATTTTTCTTTCCCAAAATATATCACCTTATTCCTTTATTTCTTTCTTTTGTCCCCAGTAATGTGTTCCTTCACTCAAATCTACACCTAAGCTCATTATAACAAACAAGCCTTTGACAATTCCAAGTTGGTTGGAGCTTAGTTGTTAAGTTGTTAACTACTCTTGTATCCTACACATGCACTTTAGTTGCAACCTTTCAGTGATATCAATGAATTTACTCTTACATATCAAGAAATTGATGACAGAATTAAAATTTTAATTAAGTAATCATAGTAGCACGAAACTTGCAAGGACCAGAAAGAACAAACCCAAATAGCAAATACCTCATAGATATTAGCATACTCTCTATATCTTTGAAGGTGTTGAGGTCTCACAGCAAATCCATAGGCATCCCTGTCAAAATCAACATCTATGTGACTCTCAAACTCAAAAGATCACTACACCCAATTCCATTATTCTCAAACTCAATGCTTATGTGATTCTTATTTCAATGTCACAAAACAACCACCATCATGATTTTGAATTCATAGACACAACATACACATAGATACATAACCTGCAATGCAAAAGCCAGACAAACAACAGAGTTGCCTTAATTTTACCTGGAATCAATGCCCAATGAACACTTACTCAACAAGGATAATAACTTACTTCACAAGGGATCTGATTATACTGACCATAGTTTGATTGAGAACAATCTTAGAAAACCAATCCTTGTACCTCATTTCTCAATTCAAAACAAATCAAGACCAACCATGCACATTTACACAACTAATCAACCGCATTCACTCACCAACATTAGGTAAAAGACTACAATATATTTCAAATTGCATTTATAATAATGCATCAAAATATAACAAAAAAGTGAGCAATCCAAAAACAAACAAAAACCACCTCCCAAAATATTGATGCGTAATCCAAATATGTGAAACACAATCAGTTCAAGCCACTGAGGATCAAGCCAGCAATTTGAAGAACATGATGCATCAATAGTAGCAAATGAGTGAACTCACTACTGGGGACACACTGAATTTTGTGTAAGATTTAGGGGAATTCGAATTTTGTGTAAGATTTAGGGGAGCTTTTATTTCCACATTACTCTCAATGCACATCTTCTCTCAGGACATACACTAAATGATTTTGAAACCTGATGACTCAATACGGCAACCCACCATGCCAAAAGTTACCATCATCTTCCTCATCCTTTAAACCGTAACCATAAGGCTGACCCTCATCTTCTTCAACCTTCACTGCCAGCCAGCCAGCCACCAGCCACCCCCTCCTTTGTCAGAAATTTGCATCGTCGCTACCACCCATCCTCCATCATCGTCGGCTGCCATTACCAACCCATTCCATCGCAACCTCTATCCTTGCCGCCCACCCCTTAGCCACTTCCCACCTTTTCCTTTGAAACCCTAGTTGTCGCAACACCCCCTCTACCGCAAACTCTTACCTCTGCGACACCCGTCTGCCATGAACCCCGTTGTCACTGCAAACCCCACCTCTGTGAATCCCAAATCAGTTCAATAATTGATATCCAAACAAACCATATTGATTCAATGGTTGGTATCCGAATAACCCTATTGGTTCGGTGGTTGATATCCGAATAGTGGTAATTTGTTCGACTCTGGCAGTCCGAACAGTAAGAGAGTGGTTAGGGTTTAGGGGTAGTGGTATGCATGATCTACTGTGGAAAAGAAGACGAGGTGGTAAGTTAGGGACCAAAGGGGTGACAAGAGGGAGAGAACGGGTTGGATGTGGTCGAGTCTAGGCTATGGATGTAGCTTCTAGTGGTGTAATGGCTGGTGGGATGGTGAAAGGGTGGCTGGTGATGTGTACAAAGAAAATGGATGTAGCTTCTAGTGGTGTAATGGCTGGTGGGATGGTGAAAGGGTGGCTGGTGATGTGTACAAAGAAATTGGAGAAGATGAGAGTTTGTCCTAAATGGTAATTTAATTAAGGGGATAAAATTGAGATTTTGAAAAAAAAAAAAATCACGTAGCATGTGGACTGGGAGAATTGGTGTATTAAAATAGAAGCTCCCAATTTAACTAATACTTTGCTATAGTTAGGTATTATAATTTTATATATTTTTTTTTTTTTTATGTATTTTATTTATTTATTTTTGGTAATTTAGATTTTGTTAAATCATAAAGTATCAATATCATATTTTTATCTTTTTAGTTCCTATAACGATTTCTTTGGTGACATTTGGAAACGTTTACATTTTTCGTTTATGTTTATAAAATAAATAAATAAATAATTGTCAACTAGTTTTTGTTTATTTTTGGAAAACAAAAACTGTAAGCACGTTTGATTTGAACCAAAAAAAAAAGGATTGTTTCCTTTTGCTTTCGTTTCAGAATGAAGCCCCTAGGGTTTGAACTCTTGACCTCGCGCCCATCTTTCTCTTCCGTGTTTCCTTCTGCTTCCTTTCCATGTTTATATCAGTTTATAAACAAATGTAAACACCTTTTTGAGTTTATGATTTTTGCCTTACTTTTTAATTTGAGGGAACTTATTTATAAACTCAAAAGTTACCAAACAAGTTTATATGATAGTTTTTTAAAATTTTTGTAAATATAAACAGAAAACCAAAAACAAAAATGTTAACAAACATTTATGTCTTGATTTTAGTGAATATATCTGCGAGCAGAATTTGTGCGGGTAATTAAGAAATAAAAAAATTTGTATGTAGTTATCAATTTCAAGATTTTTTTTTTTTATTATTATTATGTCTAAAGTGCCTAATTCTATGAAGCACCGACACTTCAAAACAACGGCAGGGACACGCATGGGACACAACACATGACATGTCCCCTTATTTAATTAATTTATTTTTAGGAGATACTTCGATGACACACTAGAGACATATTAAGTTATTTTTTCTCCCATTTTCTTTAGTACTTTTGATGAATATTGAAAATGTAGAATGTTTATTATTTTTTTCTTAAATTTAAATACTTAATAGATCATCTATAAAAAATATATATATAAACTGTAAATGTTAATTTAAAAGTGTTTTATTTTAAACAAAATATATATATAGAATTAAAGTTAATTTTTGTTAATATTGATTGTTTCTGGATCAGATATTAATCTAGATAGAAAATAAAAATATATGAAAACATAATTTATTGTTGTGTTCTAGCCATATCCATGTCCGTGTCCCTATTTTTTTTAAATCGCCAAGTCCCATGTCTAAATCTGTGTCCGCATCTGTATCCGTGCTTCCTAGGCCCAATTTCAAGATTTTGCCGAGGTCCCCAAATAAATCAGGGTTGGCGCTGCTTAAAGCTATTGACATTAGTTTATTGAACACCAAACTAATAACATGGTTAATATTTTTTTTTTTTTGGGATAAACAACAAGGTTAATAGCTTTTACGGAATATTATACCTTGTGACAAACACATAAAGAGATAAATATCTAAATATTCATATACTATTCAACAAAACAGGACAAATTACCCTGGTAGTCCCTACAATTTGCAACTTGTGTCATTTTAGTCCTTACAATTTTAGTTAACTCAATATTGCCTCCTAATTTTAGATTTTGTGTCAATTTGGTCCCATTGCTAATGTCATGCGGGTTTTTGACCGAAAATGTTCCCTAAATTGGTTGAGATTAAAGTCATTGAATTGAAGTTTACAATTTTATCTCTAAAAACACTACACACACCACTCATGTGTGCATTCACCATTAAAAAATGCCAACAATTGGAATCAATTAAACCTATTTGCTATAAAATTATAAATTCGAATCAAAATCGAACCAATTAAAATTAACCAAAATGACACAATGGCCAAAGTAAGCGGTGTAATTTGCCCCCAACAAAATACTACCAATTAATGTAATATGCAAATTAAAACCATATGAAATTCAATGTAATATGTCAAACCTTGTTCAGTGTATTTTCTTCAAACCTCAAGTTAGTGCAATTTATACTAATAACAATTTAGCAAATATTCTGTCAAATAAATTAATTACATCAATACTTTGGGTAATTTGAAAATTATATACACACACACTTAGACATCGTTGTTACCTCCTGTGCTCGAAAAAGGAGAAAAAATTGGAACTCGAAATCGTCATCTGCGATCGGATCGGAGGACTCGATCAGATCCAATGGCTATTCCTTCTTCTCTGCAACTGATTTTCCCTCTCCTTCGCTCTCTCTCTCTCTCTCTCTCTCTCTCGTTGTGTATTGTATACTGCACACTTGTATTGACCGTAAAAGCTCGATCACTTTGAAATGAAAAAGTAGCGTGGCTTTACTGACTGGGCTCTCCGGTTCACTCTGTGGATGAGACTGAACAGTGTTATTGGGCCGGTGTAATTCACCAGTCATCTATATTGATAATTTAAATAGTTGAATATAGAGTTTGTTGAGTGTTTTGTTATCGTAAAATGTTATATTAGTCCGACATCGATAATTATTTGATCAGGTTAAATTTTTATTAATAATTTGTTTTGAAATTATATTTATTATTTATAATTTAATCAAATAATTATTAATATCTGATTAATATAATTTTTTATAAAAATAAAATATTTAATAAATTTTATATTAATATCTGATTAATATAAATTTTTATAAAAATAAAATATTTAATAAATTTTATATATTAAACGGTTTAAATTATCAAAACAACCAGGTAATAGATCCACACAGATCCAACAACACGTTCTGCTCCAACGTCGGATGAGAGACAAGTCTGGCCCTTACGATTTTGTAAATGAAAAATGTTTGAGGGCCACAAAATCAGTGGCTCAAATAACTTAAAATTGTCAAAATGACATCATTTTGCATCGTTTTAAGCACAAAATAATATCATTTTAACAATTTTAAGCCATTTAAATCACTAATTTTGTGGCCTTCAGCATTGCTGTTTATAAATTTTGGTAAAATCAGTAGAGAGGGGTTGCTAGAGTGACGGTTAGTACATGAGACTGGTGACTTTACTATGTGTATGCGTGACATGTGTGTGGTGAAGAGGGCGTTTGTATGACGTGTCTTGTTTTGAAGGTAAGGGGAGTTGTGACGTGGGTAAACACTATGGGTGAGATTAAAAGTTGCCTTTTAAAGAGGCAGGAGGGGACCATTGAATTTGACTTCGTTGCGACCCACCCCGGGCCGGACCAGATTTGTTTTATTTTATGTTGATCGGATCCATCGTGCCACGTCATGTGTTTGTCAATTGTCTATGGGACACATTTGTCAATTTTTATCAATTGCATAAGCTCAAAAAAGGAGACTCTAATCCATTTGAAAAAAAAAAAAACCAAAATAAATGATTCTAGACTCTAATCCATTTGGAAAAAAAAAAAAACCAAAATAATGATTCTATTTTCAATTTTCAAATTTTTTTTTTCTTTCACTGAACATTTCAATTAATTTTAATAATATTATAACCTTATTAAATTTTAATTTTTTGAATTCAATTTTTTAAAAATTAAAATTTTTTTATTTTTTATTTTTAGTGAATTTTGTTTATATTTTAAACAAATTTTTTACTTTTTAAATATACTGGTTTGGCTTATCCTATATAAGCCAAAAAGTCAAAAAGTTACTCCAAAATCTAAAAAGATATCACTATTCTAAAAATAAAAAATAAATAAATAAAATCAATTTTGTTTCCAAAAAGTACGCACCGAATTCAATAAAGTGCGGCTGCTGTGTGCGTAAGTGAGAAAAAAGAAATGATTGGGTGTGATTTTTACACACACCGTTGTTTGTCCCATGGGGGCCATCACGGCTCCCGTTTTGATAATCTGAACCGTTCAATGTGTAGAAATCGTCGAGTACTATATGTCTAAAAAAAATCACATTGATCGGATATCGATAACTATATGATCAAATCAGTTATGTACAACAAATGGATAGTGTTATAATTAATGATTGAAAAATAAATAAATCTGATCAGATAGCTATCGATATCCGATTAACGTGATTTTTTATAGGTACATAGTGTTCGACAAGTTACACACATTGAACGGTTCAAATTATTAAAATGGGACCCGTGATGACCCCCACGGGTCAAACAAAACCGTCCAATGCTTTGTACAAAAATTAGCCAATAATTTCCAACTCAAATTACACAGCCGGTTGTACAGCCGGTTGTACGGCTGGGGCCCACTCCTCTCTTATCATCTCTTACACATTTTTTTTATACAATTTTTTAATACACATTTTTCCATCAAAAAGTTAACCCAAACCTCTATTTTTTTTTTTGTCTTTTTTAGTCTAAAAAGACAAAAAGTGCACTTTTTTAGGACACCCCAAACCAGCCCTTAACATAAATTCAATTAAAAAACATAATATTTGTGAAAAAAAATTAAAAATTCACTGAATACTAAAAATACAAAAAAATACAAAAACTTAATACATTTTCGTATTCATATATTTATTAATTAGGTGCATCTAAAAAAAATTATTAAAATATTTAATAAATTCACTAATAAACAGACATGAAAAACAAAAAACTAAGTTCTAAAAAAATTAAATTTAGAAAATTGGAATCAGGGTGATAATCACCATTTGTCATTTTCACCTTCAGTTGAGGTCGAAAAGTTACTTAGTGATCCAAGAATATTACTCTACACTACACAAACCATGATATTTGTCATATAATCTCTTCATAAGTGATAAAAAGTAATGAGACACACAATTTTAATTAATGAAATAAAATATATATTGAAGCACTATTTGAATTTGCTCCTGGAACAAACTATAATTTCTCCCTGATGTCTCATTTAGTGTCCTTCTCCACACCACCCGATGCTCCTTGCCCTTTTTTTTTTCTTTTAAAATCATCTCCAACGGTGAACTAAATTTTTCACCAAATTTGAGTAAAAAAAAGCTAATTTTCTCAATTTGACATTTCTTCCTCCAATCGTGCATCAAAAGGGAAGGGTGGACCGGTGGGTCGACCTAAGGCAAAAAAAAATTTTTTTTTTTTTTTTACCTGTCAAACTTATTGACCGATTTGAACCTACCTATTTGAAAGGGAACCGGTCGACTGGCTGATTGACCGGTTGGTCTCCTCCAACGGTCACGCACAGTAAAGTAGTGAAATGTGTACCCTGTTCTCACTTTGATGAATTTTTTGGTGAATTCTTATTTTGATACCAATTTGCTGAAACCATTGGAGTTCCAAAAAGTGACTTTTTCACCAAAATTTAAATCGATGCCAGGTTTGGTTCACCGTTGGAGATGCTCTAAACTTCAACTTTCTGTCATCTCTCTGACCTTCTTTGCCACTCACGGCCCCCTCTTACTACATCCAATTCATATGCAAAGAGAAAGAGAGAGACTCGTTAGCAAAGAGAAAGAAAATCGCAACAGGTGGCAGGGTGTGGTAAGAGAAAGCAGAAAAAGAGTGTAACGGGGGTTGGTGATAGTAAAGAAGTATAAAGAGAAAGCTCGGTAGCTACTGCAAGTAGTAGCAATAACCAAAATGGGAGTTGATAGTGTTGAAAGTGGTGTAGAATTTGAGAATTTTGTTCTTGTTGGTAATTTCAAGTACCTTAGCGTTAGCAACATTAGATGAGAGACGCGATAAGTAATATGAGTTTTATTTTAGAACTATTTTATTTCAATTGTACTTTCAATATGGATTTTTTTCTCCTCATAAAAGTATAATCAGAGTAAAGTAGTTTCAAGATAAAACTCATATTACTCACAACATTCCTCATCCAATATTTACAACCACCAAAAGGCTTTAATCATATCATGAACCAAAGTTGTCCAAAACGATACGAAATACATATATATAGGGTGTGTTTGTTTAGACAAACTAGATAAGGGGAGATTGTAATCCACCGAACTGGTAGTCCTAGGATACATTGTCTCCAAACTATTTGGTTGAATTAGATTTGTATCCTATGTTTGTTTAGACATAGGATTAAATGTCTGAATTAAACTATTCTATTAAATCCTATGTTTGTTTGTCATGGGATTAAATGTTTGGATTTGACTATTCTATTGAATTCAATATGTATCATTTTATTTTATTTTTTTACTAGAACTTTTAAAAAATTAAATAAAAAAATTATATAAATTTATTTTATTTTTTAGTTGAGATTTTTTAATTTTATTTTAATTTGAACTTTTAATTTTATTTTTAATTAAATAAATTGAGCTTTTAATTTTATTTTTAATTGAATAAAATTATATAAATTTTATTTTTTTTTATTTTTTTTTTAATCTTATTTTAGTTGAGATATTAATTTTATTTCAATAAGCTCAGGATAATCCTAATCCCGAGCTTTCTGTCTCACACCCCCCGGGATAGAGTTGTTCTATATATGGGGGACTATTAGTCCGGATTTACTCATAGTCCGGTTGAGAATTTATGAACCAAATAATGAACTATTCCATCCACCGAACTGTAAGTCTTATTTTATGCTCCTATCCCTCCAAACAAACCTGCCAATAGAAAACTCTCTCTAGAATCTCTCATATTTGAAATTATCAAATCATTTTTCTTTCTATCTCTTTCTTCATAAAACCATAGATTTAAATAGAGGTGTAAGGATTAAGCACCATTAATATATGTATACATATTAAACATAGCAAAATTATAAAACTTAATAAAAATTTTGTAATTGAAAGTATTAAAACCAATATTAAGGTCTCGTTGGGAACATGCTATTTTAGTAATTTTTTAACCTTTTGACTAAAATATGAGGTAAATGGGTTTATTTAAGACGTGGGTTGGCTTTTTGACTTTTTAATTTTTTTAGCCTTAGGCTAAAAGGCCTCATTTGGTTTAATTTTTTTGACTTTTGTAAGAGAAAAAAATGAAACGATTATAGAGTGCCTCTATTTACACACCACATGTGGTCTCAAGGCACACCATTAATTAGTAATTTTTTATTACAATGATAACCTTACCTAAAATGACCACAATGGAATACACACCTTAGTTGAATACACATCCAAACCCTAACCCTAGCCACCACTGTTGACGTCTCTTACTTCGATGGCTACGGCTTATGCTCTCTGATGCATGCCGCCAAGTAAGGCCACACGAATGCGGTGAAGTGCCTTCTCGAAGCCAGCGCACCTTGGAATGCTCTCTCTCCTTCCAACTCATCCGCCAACAACTACGCCATGGATTCTAGCCACCAAGAAGCCGTCGATGCTCTTCTCAATGCCAGTTCATAATTCTCTCTCTCTCTCTCTCTCTCTCTCTCTCTACCCTTACTTCTCATCTCTTGTGACATTTTTAGATTCATTTTAATTGTATTGGATCAAACCCTAATTATCAGCAATCAAGATTGGGTTTAGCTTAGGATTTAGAGAATTCAAGGAATT